AAGGGTTCCTTTCTCTCCACACCCCCACCAGCATTTGTTATTGGTTGATTTCTTGATAGCAGCCATTCTTTGTGGGGTGAGGTGGAATCTCAGTGGTGAATGTATCTTTTCAAAAATTGTGTAAAATTTAGCTTTAAAAAATACAATGAATGGCCCATACCAGAATTCATTGTCCCTATAAAATACTCAATAAGGTAGGAATTATTCAAATTGTAACATCTTATCTTTTCAAAATTGTTTTGTAGACCTTTGTGTCACTTCAGTGTCAAAAGGAGGATTTGAAAGGGAAGAAACAGCAACATTTGCACTACTCTACAGACTGAGAAATATATTGTTTGAAAGAAGTATGTCCTTGAAGAGTATTTTGAATGAATTTTTTTCCTTCCTGGGTTAATATGTGAGGTTATTTGTTCAGTTCCCATCTGTTAAGGGAAAATTTAAATTTAAAAGCCAAATCATTTCGTGACTGAGGATGCACTTATCTATATCTATAGCTATATATCTATGCCTGTATATCTATAACACAGTTTGGGTTGTATATTTTTATTTTGGCTTCTAATACATTTCTGTTTTTGTTCTTTTAGATCGAAGAGTGATGGATGCCATTTCTCGCTCACAGCTTTACTTGGATGATCTTTTTTCTGACTACTATGACAAACCTCTCAGCATGACTGATATTTCACTCAAGGAAGGGACTCACATCCGAGTTAACTTACTCAATCACAATATTCCTAAAGGGCCTTGCATACTCTGTGGAATGGGGAACTTAAAAAGGGAGACAGTCTATGGCTGCTTTCAGTGTTCTGTGGATGGACAGAAGTATGTTAGACTTCACGCAGTCCCTTGTTTTGATATTTGGCACAAGAGAATGAAATAAAAAGAAAAGTGAACATACTTTGTTGGTGTTTCAAGTAAGTGAATTGGTAATTGTGCCATAAACCTTCCCTAAGTTATCTAGGTTTGCTTTGATGAGTTAAGAAGAGAAAACAAACAGAAAGCCTGTGTAGGTATCATTTTCCCCATCTATAAAGTGCAGATGATGGCATTACTCTCTGTCTTATAAATTACCAGGAAGATTAATAACGTTACTTACAGGAAAAAAACAAGTTTAAATATAAAATTCAAAATATAGATGATCTTTCAAAAATTTTTCAGTCACTTTATAATCACTTGGTATTTAGTGTATCATTTTAGATAACTTTTATATAATTAAAAGATTTTCTAAATATATCAGTTTTATTTTATTTTGTGGTACTGGGGATTGAACCCAGGGCCTTGAGCACATTAGGCAATCAGTCTCCCATGGAGCTCTTTTTAAATTTTATTTTGAGATCGTTTTCTCACTAAGTTGCCCAGGTTGGCTTTGAACTTGAGAGTCCTGCTGCCTCAGCCTTGAGTAGCTGGGATTACAAGTATGTGCTACCAAACCTGGCTTATCAGTTTTCTTATTTAGGTTCTAATTTAACATTTAGGGATGATAAAAGTACACAAGTGGCTCTTTTATGGTCCTTTAGTGCCCTAGCCTTAGTAAAAGGAGAAAAATTAATATTTAATATAATCCTAAATGTTTAATTGCAGTATCAAATTATAAACACTGAGCTCAGCATGGAGTTTTGTGTAGTTAACAGGACGACTGATACTAATAATGGGTTGCTCTTTTGTGATGTGATAAATTTTGTCTTCATAAAACTCACTACTGTCATGTTTTGTTTTGTTTTTTGGTACTGGGGATCAAACTCGGGATCTTGTGCTTGTGAGGCAGGCACCAGAACCACTGAGCTAAATCCCCAGCCCTCACTACTGTCATTTTAAAGTTAAGGGAGATAGGATGTGTCTATGTCTTTGAAAATGAAAGTTTGTAATGATCATTCACTGTTAATGTTAAGAATGTTATGCTATAAACTGTTGTAAAGAAAGAGAAATTTAGAGAAAGGGAACTGGAAGCTAAGAAATTCCATGGCATCAGTTTAAAACTACGAAGACAAAAAGTCAGGGGTGGTAGATATCTAATAACAGCCTATGAGAAGGCAGAGAGCAAGCACATTTATATTAATTTCTGAAGATGTATAGCCCCAATTCCTGCTACAGGAAGTAAAAAGTCTTTGATCTGATCAAATATCTTTAAACATTTCCCGTTTGAACAAATACCCAAGGACAGAAGCTTGCACCAAAAAAGTATAGACTATGCTGAGATTCCTTGTGGGACAGAGATACACAATATCTTCTTTCATGTGTACCGAAGGCAGATGCTTGAGTCCTAATTTTTATACCCTACTATCCATAATGTTATGAAATGCATAGATGAATGAAATGTTACTTCCTGAGTCTCTACTGAATATTTTTAACATCTAAAATATTAGATCTTTACATTTATACATGCTGTTAAAGTTAGAATTGGGGGATTTGCAGATTTTGTTATATTCTGTTATATCCCGAAGGGACGTTATTGCCCACTGGGACACAGACCCACTCCAGAGTGCTCCAGTCAGTATTCACAGAATAAAGCAACAGGAAGTACAATCATATTTTTTCTTGAGAGTTAAATTTGCAAAACAGTCTCACATTTATTATACCAAAATTACATATACTGTGGGGGAACAAAGTATCTTCTCATGGGGGAAAAGTAGGAAACACAAGATGGAGAAAAGTAAATTGTTTCATAAGTAAAGTACAATAAGTAGCTAAAAATATGCTAGAGTTCATCATGTTGGTACACATTATATTCCTTGGGAGAAATGAAGCCATTGCCATCGTGGTCATTCTTCTTAAAAAAATCTTCTAAAACTGCATTCTGATATGACTTGTCACGTGGCTTCTCATCTTTTTCAAATTCTCTTTCCAAGTAATGGCTTACCTAGAGGGCCCAAGTGACATTTATTTAATAAAAAGGTATCACAAGTTTCCAGTAAATTTAAAGAATGTTTACAGTAATGCAACTCATATCCAAGACTACTTATATTAAATGATACAAACATTCTGAAAGGCTATTTTAAATTTTAATTTTATAACCTTTGAAGCAATCTCTACAAACTGTGAGCTAAATAAACCTTTCCTCCTTCAACTTGTGGGTGGCAGGTATTTTGTCCCAGAAATGAGAACGTAAACTAAGATAAATTGAGATGTTATTGTAAATATAAAATACACAAAAGATTTTGAAGACAATAATGAAAAGTATATCTCATTGATGATTTTTATATAGATTTCATGTTGAAACAGTATTATTTTAGATATTTTGAGTTAAGATAAATTAAAATTTCACTTGTATCTTTTTACTTTTAATTAATTATTCGTGGTATTGGGGACTGAGTAGCTAGGACTAAAGGCTTGAGCAAGTACACCTGACTTTCTTTTTACTTTTTATTTCTTAGTTTTGCAGTTACTGGGGATTGAATCCAAGGCCTTTCACAAGCTAGACAAGCACTCTATCACTGAGCAACATCCCAGTATTTTTAATTGTATTTTGAGGCTGGGTCTAACTAAGTTGCACAGGCTGGCCTCGATTTTGCCATCTTCCTATGTCAGCTTCCCTTGTAGCTGGTATCATAAGTGTGGGCCACTACATCTGGCTTTTTAGGTTTTAAAATGTGGCTACTAAAAGATTTAAAATTGTGTATGTGGCTCAATTACATTTCTACTGTAAAGTGCTAATTTATATAATAACTAAAAAAGGAAGGCATAATGATTGAGATAATATTCTCCAAGGCTGGGGTATTTTAGAGTCAAGACCATTTTTGAAAGCTAGACTTACATCCTTAGGTGTTTTAGTAATACATACCCTCAACTGAACTCTTTGCTAATAGACGTAACTTCAGGACAACTGATCAACCTTAATATAGGATATATCAGCTGTTCTCAAATGTAATTTTGGTTCTTTATGTTTGTATTTTTTCCCCAATTCAAACTTAGCAGTCCAATGTAAGTATACAAGGTTTAATTAGCCTCAAATATTCTCCAGTTTCTTAATAAGTAAATTTATTTTGGGGGGGGGGCTTACTGGGGGTTGGATCCAGAGCCGCTGCACTGAGCTACATCCCCAGCCCTTTTTATGTTTTTTGTTTTTGTTTCTAAATTTTGAGACAGGGTCTTGCTAAGTCATGTAGGGTAGGCTTGAACTTGTAATCATCCTGCTTCAGCTTTCTAGGATTATAGGTGTTTAACACCATTCCTGGCTGTAAATTTAGCCTTAAACGTGAGCTAATGCTCAAAATCCTTTTCTTTTCTAGTACACTGTAATACATGGGTAAAGAAAGGTAATGGGTAAGAACATACATTAATTTTGCTAGCAATGAGTTGCACACTATTTCTACTTTTTAATTTAATAAAATATGGTATCTGGGGCCAGGAATTTAGCTCAGTGTTTCTGCTACCTGCCTTGAAAGCGCAAGGACCCGAGTTTGATCCCCAGTACCAAAAAAAAAAAAAATGGTATCTGCCCTCAACTCTGTTTATATGAAAGAAATAACCTACTAAATCTTCCTAATGATTAAAGAAAGAAATTTCTGTCAGTTCATGTTTCAAGTCTAGGCTTTCTATGTACTGGATGTGTGGTCTTAGGCAAATAATTTAACCTTTGTGTGGTCTTGGACAATTTAAATCGAACCTCATTTATGTCATCTGTAAAGAGGGAAATAGCTGTATAGTTGGATTGATGTGAGGGTTAGCTATTGTTATTTAGGCTTATGAATATCACTCTTACCCACCTGGTGATAATGCAGCTGATAGCCAAGAGACCCCTGGAAAAAAACTGTAGCTAAGTAGTTCACTAGTTTGCTTTTTTTTTTTCTACTTTTGCTTTCTACAAAAGAACTAAAGATCTCTGAATGTCTGGGAGAATTCATATTGTAGAATGTGCCTGTTTGTGTGCCTGTGATAATGAATGGACTATGTGTACTGGTTGAGCTCTTGGTGTTATGTGAATCCACCTGCAGATGCTATTCATGCTAAGAGGGTGTTAAGCAGCCAACAGAGAAGTGCACATTTGGAACAGTTCCCCTCTCACTGCCCTTCTTCTCAAGGCATAGGGCGGATTTCCTTCCTGCTCTTCCAGTGCTGACCAACAAGGGTCTCAGGGGAAAGGCTGTACTAAGTCCTGAGGAGGAAGTATATTTGGGCGGGAAGAGGATTGGAGAGGGAGAGAAAAAAAATAAAAAGGACTTACTCTTAACACTTGAAGTCAGAGACCCAGCTGCCAGCCAGTATGCCGTGCATACTTAGATGTTAGTCTTATGCATCTTGAACTGTCTCCAAACAAGAAGAAGGGAGACAACTGGGCCACTCATTTTAAGCAAGAACACAGACTGTGGAACTAAGTAAGGCACTAGATTTCAATAAAACAAGCATTAGCTCTGAACATTCATGATGGAAATTCCCTCAAGGAGGCAGGGTGTGCCCAAGGTTAGGAACACAATACTGGAGCCAGAGTGCCCAGGTTACAATTCTGGTTTTGCCACTTATAGCTATGTGAATTTGCTGGTTACTCAATCTGTCTGAGCATCATTTTCCCCATCTATAAGGTGAAGATGATAATACCACTTACCCAATAAATTATCATGAAGATTAGATAAGTTCATATACTTATTTGTTAATTATAGGGCCTGGTACTGAGAAAGTGTGAAAATGTGTTATTTATTTTTTACTATTACATGATCTATATGAAGATCAATTCATATGTAAGGCCAAGATACAGAAGCTAGGTAGCTGAACTCTGGGCTTCTGTTTGCTGCCTTTCTAGCCTACCCAATTCAAATTCTTGCTAGATCTTCTCATAATCTCACCTAATTCCCACAGCCCTCTGAGGTGGGAATTATTTGTCCTGTTAAAAATTCTTACAGTGCTGCTAAAAAAGAGATCTACTCCTAAAGGTTAGAAACTAGAGAGCCTTGTAAAGATGAGTAATTTGGGATTTTAATGACCATTCTTGAAGGAAGAAAGGCAGTTGAGTTGGATGAGTCTCAAGTGATCGGAGCCCATGCTAACTAGGATTAAGAATAATAGTTGCAACACAGATGCATTTAAATCATAATGAAAACATTAGATGGTACAAATTAAATTTGTTTGCATTACCTCAGTTTTAGAAAGTCGCCTGTCATTGTCTGCATCTATCTGTTTAAATGTTTCAACACTCCGCGGTCCTTTGGTCACAGCATAAAGTTCAATCTCAAAAATCAATGTTGCATCAGGTGGAATCTTGGCTTCTGCTAAAGGTATACATTTTAAAGTTTAATTTATATGAATATACATTTCAAATATTTATTCATGAACAATCATAATAGTATTGTTATTTTACATTTATAATAACTGATTTCTATATACGTTTAGAAAAAATTTTTTGTCTTAAAAGTTTTTGTTTTATTTTTCTCTTATTATAAAAACCCTTTAGGATTATTTTTTTCCATATTTTTTTAACCAATTAGTTCAAAAGACCTACAGGATCATTATTTCATGATTAAATTAAAAGAAATACAAATCATATAATTTTTATTAATATACCTCATCATCATAAGGAGAAGTGATACAGAGAAATGAGCAGAAAAAATTCAAAGTATAGATGATAATCTCCTAGAAAATGATTTTTTGTAGTTATTCGGAAGCATAAATATAAGTATCAATATATCTGGTTTTCAAATTCTTCATAGACATTAAAAAATAAGTGCAATGACAGAAAAAAAGCAGAAACAATTTTACCAAGACATTTCAAATCACAATAAAAATTTAAGCATTAAATATTCAATTTATTCAAAATTTAATAATTTAATCTCTTTAATAAAATTAACCTGTTAGTTGATATTACAGATTTTAGTTAGCTATGGTCTACTTCACAGATAAAACTTTCATAAGAATAACCTGTAAAAATAACTTCCCAAGGGGTAGTGGGTAGCTTGTAGCACGAGTATATCCCCAGTGAATCACGTAGTGCCTTATATATTATGGGCACTCAAATGGATGAATGAATCACACAAATTGTTTATTTTTAAAAAGTGGTTAAGTTTGTCCTTTGAAAGAAGCATCCATTTCTTTTATGAAATAGAGAATTCTTGTTAAAATGTTTATATAGTCCAAAGAGAAAAAGGTTTTGCAAGTTACAGTCAAAGGGGAAGTTGATCAGTAATTTTCAAAGCCAGGACATAGAAAAACTCCCCAAATATCATGTGACTAATGTGAAAGTCCTGGTTTACTGCCCACATATTACCTGACTTGAGAGTAAAAAAGCTAGAAGTTGATCCAATGTCTTTTTACAAAAATAATTTCTATTCTGTCCAATTATAATCACTTTATGACAGAAAAATAGCTTCTCCTGATGATAAAGACATACTCAAAAGCAAGGCCTCCCTTCCCCCTTTGAGTGCTTCCCTCCTTCCTTTCTTTCTTCTTCCTTGTCCTCCTCCATTTCTCCTCCCCCTCCTCTCCTTCTCCTTTTCCTCCTTCTTTTTTTGGCACTAGGGATTGAACCCAGGGTTTCTGTACTCAGCTATATCACCAAACTTTTTTTTTTAAATTTTGAGACAAGTTTCACTAAATCACTAAGTTGTTCAGGATGGGCTTGAACATGTGATGTTCTTGACTCAGCCTGCTAGAGCTTTGGGATTAAAAGCATGCACCATCATCATGCCAGGCTCAAATTCAGATTTCTAAAGAAAAAATATTACAGGTACATACACAGTTCTGAACAATTCTACTGCAAAACACAAAAATATAAACAGCTAGTTCTTTTTCTTGGAAAAATTTATAAAGTTTGAAAAGGAAAAATATTTATATAACATTTGTATACAGATCCTTATATTTACAGAAGCATATCAGAGAAGGAGTTAATGTAAAGAATCTATACATACCACATATATCGTTAGTTAAAGCGCTAAAAGTCACATGCATTTCAAGACATGCAGGGGTGCTCTGTACATGAGGCAAGGATATGTTGCAGAGAAAAACTTTCTTCAAGTATTACCTAAAATAAAGTTACAGGTACAGCTAATGTTAGGTCTTAACTTACTTATTAAAAGCTTATTTAATCAAGAAGTTGCTTGTTAAAACAGTTACATATGGTCTACACTGCAACTTTTCAAACAATCTAATCCAAGCTATTGTAATGCAGGTAAGGCGAGCAGTTAACTACATTTCAATAAATACAACTTTTTTTTTTTTTTGGTACCAGGAATCGAACTTGGGACCTTGTGCCTGCAAGGCAGGTGGCTGAACCACTAAGCTAAATTCCCGGCCCAATAAACATAACTTTTGGGGGCCTCAGTTTCCATATGTATAAAATGAAGGTGCTAGTGCTATTACTAGAGAGAACCATGGTATGGTTTGGATCTAAAATGTCCCCCCAAAGACTCCTGTGTTGAAGATTTGGTCTCAGAAGCAGTAATGTTCAGGGCTGGGGATTTAGCTCAGTGGTTCTGCCAACTGCCTCGAAAGCGCAAGGTCCAGAGTTGGATCTCCGGTACCGGAAAAAAAAAAAAGGAAAAAGGAAGCAGTAATGTTCAGAGATGCAGTAATACTAAGCTGTTTGCCTATATCACTTTGCTTAAAATGGCCTCAATTTATCTTCAAATTTCTTCTTAGGTCTCTCTACAAATAAAACAGGATATACAAAGTAAGACACCCTAGAGCCATTTATTTACTTGTTTATTTACTTACTGTGGTGTTGAGGATGAAGTCCAGGGCTTTGTATATGATAGGCAAGCAATCTATCACTGAGTTATCTATTTTGATGAGACTATTAAATGATTCACAGAAAGTATTGAAAATGAAGCTACCACTGTCTGGAACCATCTCTTCAGGAGTGTTAGGTCTACCTGGGCTTGCATCACTAATCTCTCTCAATTGAATTTGAGGCAGTGACTCTTGCTCTTGCTGGAAAGAACAGGTGAAGGAATCACTGCTCTTACTGACTAAACCAACAGCCTCCAGAAAGTCCTGGCATTTCCACAAAATATTTGGAAGTAATATAATTCATCTTTACGTTTATTGGAGACACCTCAAATTGAATATGAACTAACTTCTTCAAGTCAAACTACTATATTCCTGCAGCCAAATGTCATCATAGAAAATTAACCATGAATTATATACTAAATATTTCAAATAGGTGGAGTTAGCAGGGGCCTAGACACAGTGAGGAGGCAAAGATTCTTTCTGTAGAGCCTTCATATAGCAATAGGGACCTAATTGAGGATGTATGGCAAAACTTGCCTGTTGGGCTGTCCATCCTCCTCCTTAAAAATTTCCTCCTCTATTCTGCAACACTTAATTTTAGTAGATTTAGAAAAATTAACACATGTACATGATTGAATATTCAAATAGTACAAAATATTACAGTGAGAAGAAATCGTCTCATCCTCAGCCCTCAGGCCTCCTTCTCAACGCTTAATGTCCTCAGATAACTTCATGGCCTCCCTGATACAGGCTGTGTAGATACCTGCATATGTGACATTCACCCCTGCTGTGCAATCTCTTTTAGGATAGCGAGTGGTATTTATTTTATGCCCAGTGCCTAGAACAGAGTATGGCACAGATATTCATTGAATATGTATTGCAGGAATATAGTCTATCCCACTTTATTTTAACACATTAGTATGGATAGCTCCACTTCATTCTTTTTACTGGCTAAGGAGTAATATAATTACTAGTAATGTAATTTAAGTAATTTCCTACTGATGGATACTCAGGTAGCTTCTAGTCTTTTGCTAACAAACAACAAAACATCTTGAATGAATGCTCTTTTACAGATACCATTGTGCACATTCCTGGAAATGGAATTGGTCAGAGATGTATGTAGTTTTTCTTTTGATAGATGGTTTTAGAAAGGGGAATGATTCACATTCTCAGCAATAAAGCAAGAGATAGCTAGTTTTCCCGTGTCCCTGACAACTTTCATATTGGTTAATCTGACAGGTGAAAAACGATGTCTTATTCCCATTTTCATTTCCCTTTCCCTTTCTTTAATTACGAATAAAATTGTTCCCATAGATTTAAAGGCTAGCTGTATTTTTTAAAATAGTGTACCCCCCCCCTTTTTTTTTAATAAATGTGGCCCATTTCTAGGGCTAGGTCATTTTTATTATTGGTTAACATGTTCCTTCCGGCTTGTACCACCGGTGGGTCAGAGCCACCTGGCGGTGAGACATACGAATTACAGCCTCATTGTGAACGTGTTAATAAATTTTCATTCCTATGTATTGCAAACATTTTTCCCATTTGTCTGCTTTACTCAGATTTGTGAATCTTCTTGCTCTAGAATTTTTTTTTTTTAGTACCAGGAATGGAACTCGGGTTCTTGCGCTTTGTAGGCAGGCAGCGGAACCACTGAGGTAAATCCCCAGCCCCTAGAATTTTTTTAAAAGCAAGATACTGAAAGAAAAAGTTCATTCCTTCCATGTTTCAAGGCATGTATTGTACAGTGACTGACATTTTATATCTCAGATGGTCCTTTTACAATGTTCTACTACTGTCCCTTTACTCTAAAATCATGTTCCAGTTTCTTGAATTTTATTAATTTTGATTCTTCTTACCAAAGACCTGTGCTCTAAACATTTATGTAATAATATAATGTAGACATATAATTATACTAAAAACAGAAATGTCCAAGGTAGAGCCTATAAAATATACACAATCATTATGAGTGTTGCAGCTGTGTAAAGAACTCTGCTCAGAGACCTATGTTCCAGAGTTGTCTCATTTTCTTCATAAGTAAACAGAAAGGACTGGACTGAACTCGATACACCTAGTTTGTCGGACCCTATGGCTCTGTGATTATTTCCTATATGATTTTTAATTTTTGTTTGCTTTTTATTTTTAATCATTGTAAAATATAACATAAGGTTCACCCCCTTAACTATTTAAGTTTACTCTTTAGTAGCGTAAAGTGCCATCCTATGGCTGTGCAAACAATCTCTGGAACTCATCTTGCAAAACGGAAACTGTACTCTCTGAGTAACACCTGTCTTCTGCCCTTTCCCTCTGGTAATCACCCTTCCACCTACATAGTAGCATAAGTCAGAATTTTTCTCTTTTGTAAGGCTGAATAATAATCTATCATCTGCTTCATTTTGCTTACGAACTCTTCTGTCTTTTGGGTTATTATGAATAATGCTATTATAAACACTGGTGTACAAACAGCTCTGAGACTCTGTTTTCAATTCTCATCTACACACAGAAGTTTATGATTTATTTTTTATATATAACTAAAAAGAGAAATTTTAAACACCTTACCATAACCTTCCTTTCCATATGCAAACGAAGGAGGTATGATCACTTTTCTCTTTTCTCCAGGGCACATATGCATCATAGCAATGTCTAGGCCCTTTATGACTTGTCCAACACCAAGAACAAACCATTTGGGGTGGCCTTCATTTTGTGTCCGGCTATAATAAAAAACGCTCAGATAAGCTGATTTCAAGAAACGAAACTTTAAAACACTGTGGAGTAATTTAAAATTGGAGTCTCTTTTCCCATATCAGCCCTCTTTCTGAACCCCATGTTTAGCTCAAACTACAACTGGCAAAAAAAAAAAGTATGATTTGCCCAAAGCTAGTCATTAGGGGACATCTCATTTTTTTTAAAAAAAATTGTCACTGTTAGAAAAACCATTCAACAAGTTAACTTTTTAAATTGGTCTCCAGCCTCTAACTGGCTGCATGCCTTGTATAAATAACTCATATAACGTCTCTGTATTTGTTTTTTGAAAAATGACGAGGAAGGTTTAGTTCAGAAAAGTCATTTTAATGGTAATTTAAAATCACATTTTTCTTATTATATGTCTCGATTTTCTTCTAAATGAGAAAAGCTTACTTTTCCCAGTCCTCTATAGGGGAAGAACAGACAGGAAAGGGAATTCTATCTAGAAGTAATAAACTGTCCATCAAATCAGCTATGCAGCAGGTGGGATGAGAGAGCACGCGGCCAGCAGCAAACACCTGAAAGGCATTTTTGTAGTGGCTGTAGTTGAAAGATGGGCCTCCAGGTTGAGAGCCAGAACTAAATCTAATTATCCGATGTAATAACATCTGTAGAGAGACTCCAACTCTTAGCAAAGGGAAAGCCTGAATATGCTTACAGCAGTCCCTTCAGCTCTAGGGGTCCCAAGGATAGTGGTGGTCATCGAGGGTGTGTGTGGGTGCTGTGGGGTTTTTTTTCCCCCATTGGGCCAACATTTAAAGATACTCAGTGTCCTAGGGAATTTACTTGCCAAGTAATCCCATTTTTCTATGACAAAATGATTGTTGTTAAAAGTAAAACAACCAATTAGGCTTCGCTGGGTGGGTGGAGGCGAGACTTAGTGCGTGACCGGCCTCCGGGGCCGTTCGTAGCATCTCCTACCTGCAGTAGAATTTCGAGCCATCTTTAGCCAAGTAGCCGTCGTAATGGGCATTGAGCAGGTCTCCCTTCTTGCTGGTCTTCGAGCAGTTTTCTGGACGATACACAACTTCTATTTTCACTTCTTCTGTGCTCTCCTCTTTCTTTTGTCCCTGAGCAATAAAACAGCCGCACAGGCAAAAGAAAAGGACTAATCTGTATAAGGAACGCATGGCTCCAGGCGCAGACCCCACTAGATCACTGCGCTCCCCAAGTCATTGAGTCGGTGGCTCCTCGGTGGCCGAATTTCGACGCGTGGCAGCCGTCCTACGTCACAAAGGGCCGGGGCGTGGCTACACGATGCCCCGCCCCACCGGGGGTGAGCTTCTCGGTGGTGTCGCAGCCACCGCTCTGGGGACATCTCTAGTTCTGGGGACTGGGGCTGACTGTCCTCAGTATCTCCGACAGCGCCTCATAGTCGCGCTGCTTTCCTGGCCTAGTCTGCATGTTATAGCCAGTTTCCTCCGGATTTCTAAAATAAAACAGGCAAAAGATCAAATAAACAGCCTGCGGTGGGATATCCTGGGGTCAGAGAATGTGGCTGGCCCTCTTGGGCACAAAAAGGCTTCTTTTAAAGCCCCTAGGGTGTCACCGGACAGGGTCAGAGGAGGTTGCTTAAGCGGAGGTGCAGAACCTCTCACAGGGCAGGTTTGCTGACTTCTTCACAGAGAAAGTATGTTCGGGACTCATCAGTAAAAGGCGTAAAAAAGGATTTATTAGGTAGAATTTTAAAAGTACAACCTCAAAGAAATAGCGTGGGGCCTCTGAGAGGGAGACAGGCACCTGGCGACTTTTAGTTGTGTATATTTATGGGGATTTCGGGGTGTCCTTAAAGTGGGTTATTTAGGATGTGTATTCTCTTTTCTGTCGGCTTTTAAAACGCAATGATTTACATACATTTGAAGCTGAGATCTGCTGTCTTAATAGCATGCTTCCTGAGAATGAGGGTTGATTGTAGGGGGCGCAATTTACAGGTGAAAGGGACCAGGAGACCCGGTTCACAGGCTCCTTAAGGCCCTTAGGACTTTTTCTTGGAAGGGAAAAAAAGCTTGAATAACTTTTGTGTCTTGAAGCTGCAGGTTTTTAAAAAAGTACGGTTTTAATATTACAATCCTCCTTGTCTCCCATCCTTATTCTTTTCTCTCCTATTTCAAGGGAACTAGAGGGTTTGGAGAGGGGGATTCTGGAAGGAAAGCATAAAAAGCAGGCTTTGGTCGCTCTCTAGGTGCTTCTGGGGTTTCTTAGCCCCTTCTCCAGGTCAGAGTCCTGCAGTTAGGGGTTCCAGGCTGCAACAGTCACATACAACCTACACCGACGGGAAACAGCCCGTGTAGGAAACACCTACACTACGGGAAACACCTACAGGAAACAGCCCCCCTGGATCCCAGGTTCAGGGCCCGGCTCAGGCGACTGGGGACCTGCAGCCGGCTTACGTTTCTGTGCCCCTCCTCTGGGGAGCACCCTCCTCCTGAGGGCCTGTAATAGTAATAGCGTAATAGTATCAAAGAGAGAGAGACAGACGCTCTTGCCATTTTCTTGACAGTGCTATGGATTCGAATTTATCCACATCAAACAAGAAAACAAGAATTGGGGATTTTTTCAGTCTCACAGCTATATTTTGTAGCAGGGATTAGGCCAAATTTGTTGGACACAATCCTGTCCTCCCATTATAGTATGAAAACCTTTTAAACATGCAGAAAAGTTGAATTTGACAGTGAACATTCTATAACGACCACCTCGATTCTATCATTAATGTTGAGTTGTATTCATCAATCCATCTATGGGTTCACCTTATTTCCAAGTGAATACCCAGATGACCCAAAGCGAAGGCCTGGCAGGGTCTGGATGAAGTGTTATTGCCTCAGGCAGCTGGAACCGCTTTAGGCCACTGCTTTGACTTTGCAGAATTCCATAAAATCTGAATATCACTGTAAACTATGTAAGGTGGCAACCATTTCCAAGCAAGAATTTTTTTCATAAAAGCTAGGGGGAAACCCTCTAGCTATTGAACACAATTCTAAAGTGCAGTTCCATGGTTTACATTCTAAGTAAAATTGTGGCTCTCCAAGGTTATGTACTGGTGCCATGACAATTCCTGGGCCGAGGGCCGGGCCCCTTCAGTTATACACTGCCGGCCTAGGAGTTCATTTCTCCGACCCCAAGTGTGAGAAGGATGCAAAGCACGCAGAAGTAGCACGTCTTTTTATTTTCTTTAAAAACAAAACCAAACAAAATCCAACTACTGACAGGACCTGAGGCTTGCAGGTAAGAAACGCGGAGAGGCCTAAGTCCCTGCCCAGGGGCTGCGCGCGCGGCGGGGCCCGAAGGCCTCAACCCGGGGTGTGCGGCCCAGCGAATCCGCGGACAGAGGGGAAGGAGAAGGAGGACGAAGGCAGCCCGGCCTCCTCCTCGCTCGGTTCGGCGCTCCGCGACAGGCAAGAAGCCGAGCCCGCCCCTCCAGCCCCGCCGCCGGGGAGGGGTTTCCCGCGACGCGCCGGCCCCTTTCATCCAGGAAGTGAAAGCGACGTCGGGGTCAATGGAAACAAGCGGGGAGCCCGGGGGCGGGAAGGAAGGCGGGCGCCGGGCCGCGGGAGGAAGTGGGATCTGAGGGCGGCTGCGGTCGTTATCTCGCCGCCGCCACCGCGCGGGCCAGCTGGGGATGCGTGAGCGCGCGCCTCGCCGCCCCGGGCTCTGAGGGCCGCCACGTCCCCGCGTCGTCGGCGGCGCGCGGGCTGAGGGCGGCTTCGGGCCGGCGGGGCCGCGGAGGGGGCCGGGCGCGCGGGGAGGGGCGGTCCAGGCCCCGCGCCCACCGTGACCCCTTCCGCGCGCCGGCGCCGGGACAGGAGGATGCGCGGCTCTGGGCTCTGAAGCATGGAAGGCGTTCTGTACAAGTGGACCAACTATCTGACAGGTACGGGGCCCGGGGGCCGCGGAGGCAGCGTCCCTCGCCCCGCCTGGCCCGCCGTGACCCGTCTATAACCCACCGCCCCCGGTCCCGGGCTTTCATCTCCGGCTCGGTCCCTGTCTCTGAGCTCTGCGGGGCAGGTGGGCGACTGCCACCTTCCTTCCCGGAGGGTGGGACGTGCGCCCCGCCGCTTCCCTGGCCGGTGATGGTACTTCTGGTCGCCTCCGGAGCAGTTCGCATTCCCCCGACGTGTGTTGTTGCACCCCTGTCCTCACTCACCCTCCAGAGCCAGCATTTTGTGCATAAATGAGTTGTCGGAGTAATTGGACTGGAATAGACTCTTTAAGATCAAGATTTAATTTTAAGAGAGGTTTTTTGTATTCTTTTAATTTTCTTAAGATTTTATTTCACTTCACTTGTTGAGGTTGTCTGAGCTTAGCGAACACGGTTTTGGAAGCTGGCCCCTAATAATCTCTCAGGGAATGGTTTCCAGTGAGGTATCCTTATGTTTGGGAATTCAGGGGGGAGCACAGTAATCGGAGCGAGCAGGTCGGTTTTACCCATGAGGTGGGTTGGAGGAAAGAACGCCAGTTAGGCATTTCTGCGGAAGTGAAGTACCGGACTCGAACAGCCTGGACTGGCTTATTAAAGGCACGTTAAATCTAACTTGTAGTTCAGTCTTTGCTGGTAACCAACACTAAACGCAAGTGGCCAGTTATCACAGCGTCTTCTCAGCTTGGTAAGGCCGGGGTGATCAACTATTTTATCTTAGAGATGACTTCGACTCCTGAATTCTATCATCTCACCAAATTAGAGGGAGGAGATTGGTTTTAAAATAAAATTGAATAGTAAACAAATTTCTTGTGCAGGTATGATAGGTAAGTATTGACTTGCTGTCTACTTGCTCTGCTGAAAGTATTCCCTTTTAGTAATTATATATATAGTACTCTCAACTTTTGTCCGCTTGACCTGGTACACAATTTACACATAAACACTTTCAGCATAAGTAAGTGTAGTTATCCTTGTTTTTTGATTAGTTAGAACACTACAGTCAGATTTGTAGCCGCAAATGCTTTAATGTTTACAATATACAGTTTTACTTTTTTCAAACTAAAAAGCTGGACAGTTTATTTCTATAAATGGCAGTTTTTAACAGGAAACATTTAAAAAGGCAATATTTTTTATTGAGCATTTTCATGTATTGAGCAGTTAATCTGTTTGGCTGAAGTACTGTAGTGTTAACTGTAAGACAGTGGCATCTGTGCTTCGAGATACAAATGATCACCCCTTTGCAAATATTCATAAGCATGGTGTCCTGGGAAGTCATGCCACAGGAACTATTTATTAGTAGCCCAGAGCAATTGGCATTTACTGAGATTAGTCATAATTTAAGGTGAAGTTTCACTTGGTGTAGAATTTCTCTTTGGCAGTTCCCTCATCTGTGGTACTTCTGATTACTTTCTGGTTGAGCTTTTAACCACCCATGTTCTGGGTTCCTGTCTTTGCAGAACATTTTAGTTGACTCTAGTAAGCAATGTAGAGCTTGCCGAAATGTAGCTTTTTGCTTGGAAAAATTCCATTTTTAAGATTTAAATTTGGCTTCACAGCATGCTGATTATGAATTTTAGTTTATTTCAGGTCAGAGGATGAGCAGCTGTTTGTAAGTGATTTAAGGCACTTTCCAGTGTAAGATAGTGTTGTTTGATTTGGTCCTCTCCTCCATACTGGGTCTTGAACCCAGGGGCTTCAGGATGGTAAGGGCTGTATCACTGAGCTATGTTCCCAGCCCTTTTTAAATTTTTAATTTTGACACAGGGTCTTGCAGAGTTGCCCAGGCTGCCTTCAGGCATGTGATCCTTCTGCCTTAGCTTCCCAAGTAGCTGAGATTACAGATGTGCACCACCATGTCCAGTTTATGCTGGTGTTATTTTAGAATATTTTATAGAGGGTAAGTTTCAGTAACATTTGATAGTTTAGGATAAAAAGTAATTTTCTTTAAAAAACTTTAGAAAAGGAATAACCTATGAGTCTTTTTTACAGGTACAATCCTCTTCTGTAAGTGTGTAAATCAATGAGAGATTGTTACATTAAATACTTCAAAAAGTTATATAGAGATAATTAACAGACTCGGTTAGATTGCTATAGTCAACCATAATCATTTTTCATATTCCTAAAATTTTGAATGAATTGCTTTGATCAATATTTGTTTTAAAAAGATAATTGAATTGCAGTAATAATGTAGGCTTGCAAAGTCATAATTTGTATTATAGGCACTCTGGCTTGGGGTGGAAAATAACATTTTCACCTCACCTTCCTTGTAATTTGTTTGCCAAAGTGAATTAGTATTTGGACAGATAATGTTTTTATCATTTCTATGTATGTCTGGACAATACGTTCTCATGGATAATATTGCACGTCTGTTGTGGATTACATGCAGTATCTCACTTTTCTGGTATTCATTTTTTTTTTCAGTCACTTGAGAAATACATTTTTAAGCACTTGTGTGCCAGGCACCATTCTTGTTGCTGGGAATTCAGTGATAAACAAGATAAAGTTCATGTATCAAAAGAACTTACCCTCTAATTTGGAAGGTCTCATTAAGGAATAAACATAATGAATTTTCCAGGCATCTGAAAATTGCTTGGTTTGTTTTATTTATTTTAGACATCTATCTTTCTGTCCTGTTTTATGGCATTCTCTTGTCAACAAGGCATAGAAAGTAAAACTTAACCTTTTTATGATGACTTAACATTGTCATTTCTGTAGTGTCTCAAGTAAAGCCTTTCAGGAGGTTGTGTCTTTGTGTGTATCAAAGCATATGAATGGTTCACCCTTCTGCCCTGTCTTAGTACTAGCTGGCCCTGGAAAAATGGAGTTAATTAATCATATACTAGGCTTTGGCCAAAGTGACCAGGATTTGAAGACCCTGATAATATAATTTAGCCTGGAACACTTGTGCTGCATTGTGACTTAATAGTTACAGAAAGGACAGATAGTCATCCTGCCTCCAGCAGGCTTGTAAATTAGTGGCAGGCTTGATAAAATGCCAGGGAACACCAAGTTTGGCTTGCAAGAGGAGCATAATTTGGGAACTAAGAAAAGCCATCATTTGATAGTTGCCAGCCTTGCCTTAGAGCTAAGTCTGTATGATAGGTGTATGCTCTCGTTGCTGAGTAAATAATGAATGATTGCAGCTCCTGGCATTTTTGCCTTTGCTGTGTAGCAGCAGTGAAGGGAAGGGGGGTGTTGGGAAATCTACATTCCTACCATGGGTTATAGGATCTTTATAGAAGACTGGAATTCATTTAACTCTCACTGTGTGCAAGGGAGTTTGCTTAGGCAACATCTTTTTAACACAAGGTAGGATCACATAGAATTAGGGCTGAGTGACACCTGAGAGATCCCTCTTTTTCAACCTACTTGTTTTGGAGACTTGGAGTTTTAGAAATTTATTGAAATGAAAAGATTTGCCCCAGGTTATCCAACAAGAATTTTTTGTTACAGTTTGAACCTTCCTAATCGGAAATCTGAAATGCTTCAGGCTTCCAAAACATTTTGAGTTTGGTGCCACAAGCAGAAAATTTTTCGTACTTGACTTCAATGATGAGTGACAGAACCAAGAATACTGTGTTATAGAAAATTACCTTTAAGCTATGTATATAGCTTGAATATAGTATCCATGAACATTGATGTTTATACTTGGATCCCATTCTTAAAATATGGTATTATGTATATGCAAATATTCAGAAATTTGAAACACTTTTTGGCCCAAGCATTTTGGCTAAGGGATACTCAATCTATACTTCATAACTCAAACTCTTTTCTTTCAGAAAAGAGGGAAGTTATATTGTACCCTGTATAGGACTGTCACTGAGGATGAGTTTTATGGGTTGTTAATGAATGGTAAGCTTGTGAGTCAGGATAAAGATGTTACTCTTTTTATGCTGATACAGAGATTTTTCCCAGAAATCTCTACCGGGCATTGAACTCGGGACCTTGCGCTTGCAAGGCAAGTGGCGGAACCACTTAGCCAAATCCCCAGCAAGGACATTTTGAGAGGGTGCTGGCTATTACAAATTTCGTTGTTAATGTCACTGAGAGCCAAGAAATTAATGTATATGACAGTATGTGAGATCACATTTTTCTATGTGATAAAAATAATGTCTTATTAACCTTTTGTTATTTATAATCTTTGCAGGTTGGCAGCCTCGCTGGTTTGTTTTAGATAATGGAATCCTATCCTACTATGATTCACAAGATGATGTTTGCAAAGGGAGCAAAGGAAGTATAAAGATGGCAGTCTGTGAAATTAAAGGTAAGTGAAAATATAGAATCAGAGGAATTTGAAGTTATGTAGTAAAGAGTTCTATAGCATGCCCAGCACAGGGACAAAAGCATTTCTAACCGTGCAGTGATTTTCTGATACCATTTATTTCCCTAGCAATCAAAAGTGGCTTTTAGCATTGTTCAACACAGGTTTCGATAATTCTCCCTCTATAACTGTACCTAGAATAGAAATGGAAAATAGTCTTCCATTTTGGATGTGTGGATGCCACATTAGTGTCCGTGTTGTGTCTGCACGTGTCCCATTTTTTTGCTATAGGGTGGGGAGGTGGGGATCATACTCAGGACCTTGTGCTTGTGAGGCAGGTGCGATGCCACTGAGCTATATCCCCGGACCCCAAGTGTCCTATTTTATTCTTATAGATAGAAGAGTACTGTAAAGGTTGGGACCCAAGCTCTGAAGATGATGGGCCCAGCTCTGTGGGGTTTTGATAAAGTACAGATTTGGAGTCCTAAACTTGGGTTCTCTGCTGAATTGGAGATGAGCTCTTTTGGATGATATAGTTCCCTTTACTTCCAGTAGGGTGGAGCTAAAGCAGTAGGTCATGCTGCAGTTTTCATCATAGCTTCGTGGACCAGTGATTCATTTGTATGTATGGTTGGGATGCATGGGACAGAAGTCGGGAAAATGAAATCATACAAAATAGGCCATGCATGATGAAGAATGGCTATAATCCCAGCTGTTTAAGAGGGTGAGGCAGAAGGATTGAAAGTTTTAGGCCATCCTGGGAAACTTAGGGAGACTCTGTCTCAAAATAAAATTTAAAAGGGCTAGGAATGTAGCTCAGTAGTAGAGTGTTAGCCTAACCTGTGTAAGGCCCTAGGTTCAAGTTCCAGTACTGCAAAACAAACAGCAACAACAACAACAACACAAGCATCAAAAAGAAAAAAAAGATAAAAGATTATAGTTTGTCAAACAATTGAAGGCAAGCTAGAGCACTGTAGAACTGAATGTTAAAACTCCCTCCAGGCATTTCTCATTTCTCCTCTCCAGCTTAAATACTTGTTTTTCGTTAAGGGTTGCTCTTTTGACATGGTGAGCTCTTGCTCATAGCTGCCAAATACTCCAGAGTCATTGTACTGTTCCATGCATTTTCTTATTTAAATTAAACCAAAGCAGCAGCTAATGCATTGTGCTGCATTTTCCAGGGCTAGATTGCTATTTTCAGTTAATTCTTAGTAAGGTTTACCCAAGGAGATAAAACAGATTTTTCTTTTTAGGTGCATATTCTTTAGCTACACATCTGGTTTCTCACTTTCATCTCAGAATTTACTAATGTTATGGCTTTTTCAGTATTAGTGATTCTTAGTGTTGGGTAATGTGTCATGTTGGGAGCTTTCTCCAAACTGCACATGCCTTCTAGGTGATTGTACAGTAGTATCAAGTTCCCCTAAGTTGAAAATTACTAATGTACTAGTGGATAGGGGTTATGGCTGTATAAGATACAGAAGCACTTCAGCCTGATGTATCATTTCTTGTGTATTCGCTACGTGAGGTAGAGTTTTGTTGTTTATTTTTAACAGACATACTAAAACGTGCTACTTAGTGTTGGCTTTTCATGTACTGGTTTTTTGAGTCTGTACAACTCAATTTCAACTACTGTCACCAGCTATAACATTTCAGAAGTCCTCTTTTAGAATTTCCTTAGGAGTCTGTTGATAAATACACCTAAAAAGCTTATTTGGAACATTAGTTTTTCTTTTAAAACTGGTGGTTTTATTTCATCTTGTCCCCTGATTTAATTCCACATGCAGTTTGATCAAAATTTCATTTACAGTTCAAGTATTTTTCAGCTTCGAGGATATTTAAAAAACAGCTGCAGAATTCTAAGTCAATTCGAAAATAGTTTCAAGCCATGGCAGCATTTTTTTGTTGTTGTTTGTTTAATCATTTTACTGAAGAATAATATATGCACAGGAAAGGTTGTTGAAGAGTGTTAAAAGGGAAAGCATGAATGTAGGCACTACTAAGGTCGAAAATGAGGGTGTTGCCAGCAGCTTAGAAGCCTGCCCCATGGGATCCCCTGAGCCACTGATCACCTTAAACAATAATCAGTCATCTGACTTTCATAACTGCATGTAAGTGTTGTCTACCTTTAAATATTTTATAACTGGAACAGTTCAGTATTTTCTTTTGTGTCTGGCTTCTTTTATTCAATGTTGGTTTGTAAAATTTACCCATATTGTTCCATATAACTGTAGTTCAGTCATTCTTACTGTGCAATATTCCATTCTGTGAATCTCTCACAATTAGTGTATCTGTTCTAGTACTGAAGGATTTGGGGGATGTTTCCATTTTAAGCCACCATGAATATTTTTTTTAACTAAAAAATGTATGTACATATTTATTATTTTAACTATTATTAAGTGTAGACTACAGTAGTATTGAGAACATTCTTGTATATTTCTTTTCTGACCAGCATATATCTAGAAGCAAGTAAAATTGCTGAGGCATTGAGTATTTCATACATTCAGCTTTAACTTGTGTTAAAGAAAAAATTATTTTTGGCAGATAACGGGAGGATGACTGTGATCAAAATACATTGTAATGAACCCCCCATCACGTGAAACCAGTGGGGAGGTAGGTAGTGGAGGGAAAGTAGGTCATGTGGGAGTACAGATCTGTCAAAATGAAACCCATTAATCTGTATAACCAATATGCACTAATAAAAAATGTGGGAAAAATTATTTTTGACATTTGTTAAAACATAAGGTACACTTTAGGACTGTGATAATAGATAAAATAAGGACTGTTTTAATGAGGTTTTACAGTAAAGGAGAGGGATTGAGCTGAACTTCTAATGCAACAAAGAGAAGTGGGAATTTATAGCCAAAGCAGGGCTCAGGATTGGCAGATGACAAGTTATTAAGAAGAAACCTCAGGGACAAGTGGGAATTTTAGCTAAACCATCCTATCAGGACTTGCTGAAGGCAGGCCAGGGTGATCATTTATTCCCCGGGAAATGGTAAGAAATGAAGAATTTGGTCAAAGATAAAAGGTGATGTGATACTGAGGGTGGGTTTTTTTTTTGTCTCAATTGACTTAACAGGGTTCTTTTTTTATTTATTACTTGTTCATTTATATTTATTTGAAAAGAATATTTATAAACAAATGATAATAATAGTGAGAAAAAGCTGACTTCATACAAGAAGTACTTTTCTCATACAAGAAAGAGTTTTTGCTGAAACTGGTCTCTACCAGCATGGAGATGGAAGCTCAGTGCAGCATGGGACTCACAAGAGCCTGACTGAAATTTGGTTAAGAAGGTGATCTTTTTCTTAGGTAATGCTAAACTCTTTTTCCAGCGTGCTTATGTCAGCTTATTCTTCACCAGCAGAATGTGAGAATTCTAGTTGCTTTATGTTGTTGCCAAAACCTGGTCTTATCAGTGTTTAAAATTCGAAGTATTTCTAGTGTGTATAGTAGTATCTCATGGTGGTTTAACTTGTATCTCAATAACTAATGATGAGGATTTTTTTTTTTTTTTGGTATTAAGTGGCCATTTGAATATCGTCCTGTTTTGAATTCTCTTTTGAAGTCTTTGGCCCATTTTCTAAACTTGGTTATCTTTCATGTTAATTTGTAAGAATTTGTATAATCATGAGTCTTTTTCCCACTCTGTAGTTTGTAGTTTCATTCTGCTACTGATGTCTTTTGATGAACAGTTGTTCTTAATTTTGATGGTTTAATTAATTTTTATTAGAGCTTTTTATGTCCCACTTAAGATATCTTCTGCATTACTTTCTTCAAGGTTTAGTGGTTTGCATTTTATATGTAGGTCTGTAGCAGGTCTGTAATTAACTTAAAATATATGTTTGTGAAGAGAGTCAGGTAGGAGTCAAGATTAATTTTTTTTCCCATATGAATAACCAATTGACTGAGCCTATCTATTGAAAATAGTAAGCTTTTCCCCATTGCACTGGAGGGATATCTTTGTCACAGTGTTGTATGTTCTAGAGTATTCTGTTCCCCTGTTTTCTATTTTTGTGTCAGTATCACACAATGTTAAATAATTTAGCTTTATAATCTTGGTATCTCATAGCCTAATTCTTTTAATTATTCATTTTTTATTATTGTCTTGGCTATTATTGTGCCTTTGTATTTTTTATACATTTTAGATTATGCTTCCACATATCTACTGGAATTTTGATTGGAATGACATTAAATCTGTAGGTCAATTTAAGAATTTTATTCTTAACAATGTTGGGTCTTTTGATCCTTTAATGTGATATATCCTTATATGTAATTTAGGTATTTGATTTCTTTAAGTAATGCTTTGAAATTCTGTGTATTGAGGTCTTGTTCATCATTTTCCCCCCAGAGACTTGATGTTTTGGAGGCATCATTTTAAAATTTGCCTTCTCAGGTGACACCTTGGAGGTGATCACCCTTGAGTGGATGCATAAATTCTGATATGATTAAAAGTGAGTTAGTTTAGTTTCACTTTTAGCAAATACGATTTGAAATTAGAGCATTGTTTTAAGGTGGATATTGGTTCTTTCACTAAATTTAGCAGTTAGCAAAAAAAATCCTTGAGGTTTGGAATTTCACTAGTTTTGTCCCAGTGTGAAAATCTTTTGTACTTATCATTGATTGTTGCATGGTTACAACTTCCAGTATCTACATCCATGTAAGTAGACTAGGGCAGCAAAGGTTTTGTGGTACTTATTTGCCACTGAACATCCAGTCAAGATTCTCAGTATAATTGTTTCTCTAAGTTAGGGCTTCTGCCAGACTTTGTAGGCACTTGTAATTTGACCCTACCCAGCTTGTCCAATTTTGAATATGAATATTACATGGCTATACAACACAAGATGCCTTTTAGACTTGTTTCCTAATTTCCTCAGTACATCTTGTGTTTATATCCTCATTTAGGTTTTTTCTTATGCCGTTTTTCTCCTAATTCTTGCTGTCGTCAAATCTTGCTCTTGAAGCTGAAGCCTTCTTAAAACTTCCTATCTTTTGTTACCATTCTTGTATAATTACACATGAAACCTCTGACCAACAAATTCAACATTTCAGTGTACTAATTATTTTTGATGTGTCAGTTTGCTTCCCTGGCTATACTGTCAGTTCCTTAAGGGTAGCAACTCCCTTTTCTTACTATTTCTCTTTCCCTTCACCAGCACTGTTCTGCGCTGAGTAAGTACTTGTTGATTGTTGACGGTGTAAGCACAGTTTCACCCTACAACAGAGACTTGGGATCGGCTCAGCATAATTCTTGATTAACTCTTCTTTGAGTATTAGAAGGTATACGTGTGTGTGTAAGAGAGGAGGTGAAAGTAGAGGGAGAGTTATGACCTTAATTAGGGGCATATCATAGAGCTACTGTTCTCATGGAAAGTGGCCATGATTACCATTTATTTCATTCCTCCTGTATTCCAGGCACTACCCTAGGTTTAGGCATACCAGAGCATAGATTCTGCTTTCAAACAAGTCAATAAAAAATGTGTAATATGTGCGACATGCATTATATGTGTATTTAAGGCGTACAGCTGGCCCCAAAGGAGTGTCTTACTTCTCAGTAGTTAATTTATCACTGTTTTCTCTTTTGTATGCTGTTATTGATTGGGTAGCATTGTCTCCTGGGGTTTCTGAGCATGGTGGTTTGAAGGCTGCCCCTGGCTGGGCTCTTAGGGACCAGCACGACCAGTGTTGTGAGTCATGGTTTGTTGTTTTATGTGTGTGAGGCATCTAATACAGCGTCGTGTAAGAGTGGTGATTGGATTTTCCCCAAATTTCTTAAGTCTATAACTGTGTTTTTGCTTTGTTTGTCATCACAGTTCATTCAGCAGACAACACAAGAATGGAATTAATCATTCCAGGAGAGCAGCATTTCTACATGAAGGCAGTAAATGCAGCTGAAAGACAGAGGTGGCTGGTTGCCCTGGGGAGCTCCAAAGCATGTTTGACTGATACTAGGACTAAAAAAGAAAAAGGTAAGTATAATTTTCCCTCTTGTGATGAGTGTATTCTTTAACATAAATATAAATTACCCTGTTACTTTTAGTTTTCTATTCCAAGGAAATAAATAATAAGTAGAAGAAGACTTACATGTGTGGATCATCCTAGTAAAAATTTTGTAAACACTATAAAGGTATAAATTTACGTCAGTGTTCAGTAAATTAGTGCTTCCATTGGCTGATATATTATTATGCAGAGAATAAAATATCTATAGGGAATTTTAATGATGTGAGAAAATGCCCAAGGTTAAAAGCAGAACTCAAAATTACACTTATAGTATTCAGGAAAGGTATATAAGAATTGGTTAAGTTACATCTCGAAAGGGAATTTGTGAGATTAGCTTTTCATACTACATCCTTTGATACCTTGACTTTATTATGGACATATATTGTCAATTCAAAAAATAAATAAATAAATAAATAGATAGATAGCTAAGCAAATAATTTATGGTGTTAGTCTAATTATATGTAGATTAAATGTGAAAACAGTGACAGTATATCTTAATAGTGAGGTTGCAGTTTGATTTTTCTTTTCTGTATTTTTTCTTCTATTTTCTAAAATTTTTCATTGAGCATATATTACTTTTACATTTAAAAACAATATTAAGATAAATTAGTGAGAACAGTTACTGATACTGAAAAATGGAGACTGAGGATGGAATGTCTAACTATTCAAATATACAAAAGAACATCATGGATAAAGTATAGCTAAGATTAGGATAAGAAGGAATGGATACTCACAATAGCAGAAGGGAAGAAACAACCCAAATATCCATAGGTAGATGAATGGATAAGCAAAATATGGTATCTAGGGCTGGGGATTTAGCTTAGTGGTTCCGGCACCTGCCTCGAAAGCGCAAGGTCCCGAGTTCGATCCCTGGTACCAAAAAAAAAAATGTATCTATACACATACAGTGGGGTATTATTCACCCTTAAAAAAGGACACACACTACAACATGAACAAATCTTGAAGACATTATGCTAAGTGAAATAAGCCCATCACAAAAGGACAAATACTGTATGATTTCCTTATATGAAATACTGTGGATAAATTATACAGGCAGATAGTAGAATGTGGGGCAGAGCCAACAGGGAGCAGGGATTGGGATTAGTATTTAATGAATGCAGAGTTTCTGTTGGGAGAGATGAAAAAGGTCTGGAGATAGCTGATGGTAATGGTTGTATAAAATTTAAGTGTACTTAATGCCAAGGAACCGTATATTTGAAGATGGTTAAAATGGTTAGGGATATTTTACAGAACTAAAGAAGGAACAGACTTAAATTTGGGCAATAATTGATTTAGGTTAGCTCAAACGTGCAGGTAGAGCTGCTTAGGTATATTCTGGCAAAAGTGGCTTTGTGGCTAGGACCCCAAAGCAGTGCCACTGGCCGAGAAGCACCAGAATCCACTATTAAATAATTTTTTCTTTAGAGCATTTACTTCTAACTTAAAGGATATGGCCCTGTGAGTGGCTGAGATGATGACTGGATATTTAGTTTGTCTGGAGTTATTAAGGAGAAGAAAGTAAGCTCTTTATAAAAATTGTGAAAACAATGTAATGTGAAAATGAAGCTGAAAACAACAGAAGATAAACATGTTTATATACCATAGTTTTAATTGCATAAAAATTAAATATTTCAGTATGCTAAACTATACAATAAAGAAAGTTGAAAGAAAGCTAATTCTGAATCTGGAAAGTATTTGGAGTATATAAGCTAGGCAAAAGACAATTATTATCTTTAAGGTGTAAGAACTTTTATAAATTAGCAACTTATATGATAAGAGAAAACAAGCATCAGAGTTGAAAAAGTGTGTGAAGGCCAGAAATGCTAATTCATAAAACAAGAAATACAGGCACTTTTCAAATGGAAGAGGACAGATCCAGTGATCATCACTTTGTCTCTGTAAATCAGTCTACTTAAACTTCGTGGCAGACTTAGGATTGTCAATTTTTTTTCCCAACTATTGAAAGAGAAGATGATTCTTAGGGCCCTTAAGATCCTATTTCCAAGGTCTCTCATCTCTTAAGCTGTAGGTAATTGTACTTATTGCCATATTTTTAAAATAGCATTTTGTTTGTTGTTCAAAGAATGTGAAACTGATCTGATTGAATGGTGGTTTATGGTCCTTTCAGAAATAAGTGAAACCAGTGAATCTCTGAAAACCAAAATGTCTGAACTTCGCCTCTACTGTGACCTCCTAATGCAACAGGTTCATACAATCCAGGAATTTGTTCACCATGATGAGAGTCATTCATCTCCCAGTGTAGAGGTATCAGCAGAGTGCATCCTTTCATGTCTGGTTGTGTTTTGTACCACACTGGCCTGTCCTTGTGCATCCCAGAGGATGAGAGAGAAGCATCTTCACATGACTTGTGTCTTGCTATTCTGGCCTTTCCCTACTGTACAGACTCTGGAAATCTGTAGCTTTTGCTAGGAAGTGTGTCTGTGGCCTGAGTCAAGCATGAAGCAGCACATTTCTCCTGGGAAGCAGAGCCTGTCTTTGCAGCCAGTGACAGTTTGGAGGATGGAGTGTGCGGGTGGGTGGGGGCAATTCAGGCTTTGTCCTTTGGGCCCAATGCATTTGACAACTGCAATTCTCTTTCTTTTGGTCATAAGGCCCCAGCTTCCGGTGAGAGCTCATAACTTATCCACCAAGGGGCTCTCGGATGTTCTACTTCTGTGACCACCTTCAGGATTCTCATAGTTAGAATATAGTTTGGGTTAGGTTTCTCTAAAATGTATATACACATATATATATATGTATATATATGTGTGTGTGTATATATATATGTGTATATATATGTGTGTGTGTGTGTGTATATATATATATATATATTTTTTTTTTTTTTTGGTACCGGAGATGGAACTCAAGACCTTGCGCTTGCGAGGCAGGCAGCGGAACCACTGAGCTAAATCCCCAGTCCCTCTAAAATACATTTTTATACAGCTTTTCAATATATTTGGTTTAAATGCAAAATTTATTTTTCTTTGAATTTAATTTCATACATAATTGACATAAGAAATGGACATTTCTTATTGCTGCACTGCTTTAACTTTCTCAGGTAGTGCATTTTAATTAATTAATTTGGTACTGGGGACCAAACTCAGGACCTTGCACTTGCCAGACAGGTGTGGCACCACTGAGCTAAATCCTCAGTCCAGGTAGTGTAATTTAAATTCCCAGGTTTAACCGTACCCTAGTAAAGTGTCCACTGGAGATAATGTTTCATCACTTGATAAGGACATGTATGATTCCATGTAGTTGTGCGTGACTTTGTTCAAGTCTTCGTGTGTAATTTTTCAGAACATGAATGAAGCCTCTTCTCTGCTCAGTGCCACATGTAACACATTCATCACGACGCTTGAGGAATGTGTGAAGATAGCAAATGCCAAGTTTAAGCCTGAGATGTTTCAACTGCCCCATCCGGATCCTTTGGTTTCTCCTGTATCACCTTCTCCTGTTCAAATGGTTGGAACTTCTTGATTTTCCTCTAGTGATACCTTATCTGGGTTTTTGTTTTTATTTTTAAGGGTGTGTCTTAGTTACTTTCTCATTGCTGGGGCAAAATGCTTGTCACCCACAACTCTTAAGGAGGAGCGGTTTATTTTGGCTCACAGTTTCTATAAACCTCTACAGGGTTCAGTCCGTAATCAGGGGCTTCAAGGTAGGGTGGCATGGCGGAGGAGGCTTGCTTACACCATGGCAGGCAAGCAGAGAGAGGTGAAATGGGGAGGAGGGTACCCTGCCAGGCTACTCCTGCAGTGACCCACCTCCACACAGGAGGAGGCTTCACTTCCCAACATCACCTTTAGCTAGAAACTCACTGTGGATGTGGATTAGTCACACCCTCATGATCCAGTCACCTTACCAAAGCCCCTCCTATGAGTGCATGAGGCTTTAGGGGGACATCTAGGTATAATCCATGACAGGGTGGCAACAGACAGTGGACAGGAAACAGTGGGTGAATTCCTTTCTTTGTTCTCATATTCTGTGTGGGATCCTCTCAACTGATGAGCTCGGTATGTGTGACAGTGTCCTGATCCCCTTCCTCTTGGAGGGTGCTGTATTGCCTGCCCCTGAGCTGCTTTAGCCATTGACCTCTGGGTACCAGGAAAGCATTATAATGCTGTGTGTGCTGTGATGCAGAAAAGGTTGGGAGCACTCTTCCACTTGACAGTGGGGAAATCTTTTACTCATGACGAGATACAATTAAGCATATCTTTGAAGGAGTTGGGGGGGACTTGAAGCATGTTCCAATGGGAACAGTATTCTCCGGTCAGCATTTGGATTTGAACCCTCCCAGTAATCTGTGGTCCTCAGTTTCTTCATCTGTAAAATAAAGTGTCTTTTACATCAGAAGGCCATTGTGAAGGATCTGACCTGCTTAATGCTGTGTCTAATGTTAGTTTCTTACTCCTGATTACCCTGAATAACTAGAGCTCTTTTTGCCGAGGATAGTGGATTGTTGCCTAATTTATGTAAGAGCATTCTTTTCTAATCAGTGTATGATGGACCAATAATGTCCTGTGAGACAAGTCTACTATGAAAATGAGTTTTATTGTCACATTCGTTGGGAAAACTTTGGTTGACTTAATGAATTGGGTTTTTCTGTCCCAATCTGAGAGGGACAGTCTGCTAGGATGTCTCAGAACCTCTGTTTTGTTTGTTTTGTTTTTTGTTTTTTGTTTTGTAGTGCTGGGAATTGAACATGCTAGCAAGCATTCTACCACTAAGGTACATCCCCTGGCCTTTTAATTTTTTTTATTTTTTGAGACAGACTCACTAAATTGCCCAAGCTGGCATTCAACTTGTAATCCTGCCTCAGCCTCCTGAGTATCTGAGATTACAGGTGTGTACCACTATGCCTGGCTTTCAGAGCCTATCCTATGTTAAAAGTGTATTATAAATCTCTAAGAGGGAGAAGTGTAGTGCGCATTGTTTGTGAATTTTATTTGACATTTTAATCCTTTTTGCTTATTTTTGAATACCCTCTGACTGTGAGTATCAGTAGGACAAAATATTGCTTTTTTAGAACAATTGTAAATATACTGTAAGCCAATAAGTAGCTTGGATAATTGAATGAAACCGCTCTTGAGATGGCTGTGTAGTGCTGTGTTCCTGAGGTAGGTATACTAGGGATACTCTTTTTTTTTTTTTAAGATTTACTTTATAGAGTCATGCAAAAACACCTCAAAGTTCCCTCAGTTTTGCATTGAACTTGTCAAGAAATGTGTTCAGAGAAGTCATACAAGTTTTGTGTATAAGAAACTATCTCTGTTCGTTTATTTTTTCAGTACTAGGGGTTGAACTTGGGACCTTTACACCAAGCTACATCCCCAGACCCTCTTTTTAATTTATTTTGAGACAAAGTCTAAGAAGTCACAAAGTTACCCGCTGGGCTGGAACTTGCAGTCTCCTGCCTCAGCCTCCCAGAATGCTGGGATTACAGGTGTGTGGTACCATGCCTGGCTTAGAACTGTCTCTTTTATGCCAGTCTTTTATTAGTAAAAAAATTGCAAGGTATTTAGTGTTAATCTAGGACTAATGGGTTAGAGGCTGCTTATTCTTCCTAGCTGTGCCACTTGGCATGATGCAAAAAGCAAGAGTTGCAGATTCTGGTACTGTTTCTGGCAGCACTTAACCTGGAAGTCAAGGTCAGACAGATGTCAAGGGCAACGTGTTTTGTTAAGAATAGTGTGTTATTTATTGATATGAAAATATTTTATATAAAAACTTACTGACATGAAAGCTGGACTATTTGAGAATTCCATATTTAATCTGATCTCTGTAACCAGTTTATGTAGTTAATCCCCCAGTTTAGCAAACACTTGGATTTAACCTTATTGCAAATCATGAAAATTCAGGAAGTTGCCACTTTGACACACAGAAGGAGTGGTTATTATAATAGTAAGGATGGCATTGGATGAGTAAGTCGAAAAAATAATTTCTGTTACAATGAGAGGTTCATGTCTACCTGCATCTTAGTATCTGTCAGATGTATGTGGGCAACAAATCGGGTGGGTCATATCTGTTACCATTTCAGCTGGGATTTGTCAGCAGCTAGGGGTTTATGTTCCAATGATAGGAGGCATTTACGTAACACAAATGTTAGGCCTGGGCTAGAGACATCTTGGGGCTGTGTGTGTAAAAGAAACCATCTTAAACTTTTAGTATAAACTTTGCTAAATAGTCTGTTTCACTTGGTGCCTCCCTTTATATTTTGATGGAGTAGTTTGATCTTCTAAATTACATTTAGTATTTGTCATATTTATTAATGCCCAGCTTAATCAGATACTTATTTTTAAAATGTATGTTGAAAAAAACCTATTTGAAGCTTAAGGGTCTTCCTCTTGAGTACTTTAAAAAGTCGAATTATTATTGCCCTCCTCCCTGAAAACCATAGCTCCCTGAGTGATGAATAGTGAAGAGAAGCTTTGTTGCCTGACTTGACTCTTCCCCTTCAGAAGAAAAGGGAGAGACATTTATTATGACATTTTCTGGCTTGCTGGACATTCCTTTTTGTCACAAAAGCATGGAACTTCTGGATTCGTTATATATACACTGTTTTCTTATGTATCTCTCTATATATGTAAAATTTGGCTTTTAGTATTGAGAAAAGAATACAGCATGTTTTTGGTATGTGTTGTGAAAATTCCAAAGAATGGTTATTAGGGAGAAAGCTTGACATGCTACTGATGTTACTTGAGTCTATAAAAGATAAGTTTTTTTTACCAGGCATCTTTTTCTCCAGATAAATGTACATTAATTAGGATAATATTAATAAACCAGAGCTTTATTAATACTACTTGACACGAAGACTGTGCTAACTTTTTTTTTAAATTTCTAGATGAAACGTTCTGTCAGTCACCCTGGTTCTTGCAGTTCAGAAAGGTAAAGTGACCCTTTTTTTGACCAAATTCTCTAAAAATTGTGCCTACCTAGGGAAATTTTTTGGGCCTTGTAAGTGCTCTGAAATGTAAACTCTGTGTAAAGTCTGGTTCCTGTGTGCTCCTCTCAGTATCCCTTTGTGTATCTCGTAGGCTTAATCAACCATTGACAAACTTGTTCTTATAACAGAAATGTTTCCAATTGTTCTTTATCTTTTCTCCCTTATGAAATTAGATATAAAAACCTACAACATTTTTTTTTCTGGAGGTGCAGCATTGTCAATAAGTACAGCAGTGTTAGGGCATCATAAAATAAAAACTAGTGTGCTGTTCTGTGGTGATGATTTGCTTCCATGTTTAATTTTTTTAGACTGATTTCTAGCCTTGTTTTTGGTATCATTATCTTCTTGTGGTGCTCTCAGAGAATCTACCTCTAGCATTTTTCCTAAACATCTTGCCCATCTCCGAAGTCTACTGTCTTTGATCAGATATGGATTAACTTTAGATACACATGCTTTAGATACATTAAACCTTTAGTTTAATATTTTGGTAAACCATCTTATGTGCATACTGTCTTGCTGGACCCTCCCCTCTGAAAGAGGTCTCCTCTTTATTGTACTCCTTTTCCACTTAGTTCAGCTTGAAGGCCCTGTTATCCAGCTTACCAGCTGGGTTTGGCCTGTGAATGAGTAGAAACATTGCTGACACAGCAGGTTGGACTTAAAAACAGTCCTCTTTCCACTTAAAGAGAAGTCATTTACAATTCTAGTTAAGGGTGTTTTCATTTGTTTCAGGCCTTGAAACTTAATGCTTTGTATTTAATTTGCAGGAGCAGCTACTCTATAAAAGAACCAGTGTCTGCACTTCACCGACTCTCCCAGCGACGCCGAAGAACCTACTCAGATACAGACTCTTGTAGTGATATTCCCCTTGAAGACCCAGACCGTGAGTTAGATGGCTTTGTCTCTTTCTTTGGCCTGGTTAGTACAATTGTTGTGGGCTCTATAATTTCTGCAACTGGAGGATTCTGATATTGGAAAACTGTATTTTGCTCTTGGACTAATTCCTTAATTCAAAGCTAAGTAAACCGCATGCAGTCAACAGCTGGTCATATATTCTCTTATTAGCTAAGAAGTGCTGAGGATTGCTTTGTAGATATCATATATATACTGATATAGATGTATATATCTCATAATCTTTTACCTCTATTACATTTCCATTTAAAAAACATTTTAGGTGAATTGCAGGTAGCATTCTGGGGAAAATAAAGGCAGGTTTTAAGTCCAAAGAATAACCAGCCAGCCTTGTTATTTATATGCCTTAAAATTGCTGAGGAAAATAATTTTATCTGGTAGTAGTGGTGAATTACTAGAGACAGCATAATGTAATTTTTAGGAAAAGTTTTATGATTCATGTTCAAATTTTTATTTGCCTCTGAAGAGAGAAAGCTTGAAAGTGTGTCATGATGTCTAGGTTGATAGTAGTGACAATTTTCATTGAACATAAATACAGTCTTATTACATCTCCATGAATAGACTTTTACTTTTTGAAGTCTTTACTATTTCCAGTGAAGCCGTGTGGGATAGAAATTCTGTACAGTTCCCAACGAAGGACTGTATCATGCTCCAAGAGTTTTATTTGTAAGTCATTTGTTCAGAACACAGATTTTATTTCTCTACTGGAAGTGACATGATAAGTGGTGGCCAACATGGGACCCCAAAAATGGTGAATTTCTAATATTTGAATATTGTCTTAGTTACTTTTCTCTCATTGCTGAGACAAAAGACCTGATACCCAAAGTTTAAGGGGGAAAGGTTTATTTAGTTCACAGTTTGTAGAGGTTTCTGTCCATAATTGGCTGGCTCCAAGGCAGGGTGGCAGAGTGACAACAGTTCATGGCAGCTGAAGACACAAAAGCAAGAACCTTAAGAGCATCTTTCTGCACCTTTTATCTTGTTCAGACTACCTAGGGCAGGTAGAACTCACACTCTTAATCCTGGTGCCCGTGGGCCTAGCCCCACCATGAATCACCACACACTCTAGATTCAGCCACCTCCAAAATAGCCCCACCTCATTCACATGAGGCTTTGAGTGGACATCTAAACACAAGACATAGCAAGTATATTGAAAACTTTGACTAGGATAGCATAGTTTTACTTAACCAGAAAATTAAACAAATTTCATTGGAGGAGGATGCACAGTTTGTGCAGAAGGTGGTGATTCTAAATAGAACTGCTGACCATTTTCACATTTTTCAAAGGTGATGCACCTTTTTTTAATGCCCATTTAAAAATAGAACTAACAATACATGTATTGATATAGAACTTTGTGCTCACTGCCATTTTGAACTTAAGTGGAGACAGTGGGTAAAGACATGAAGGAAGGGGAAAAGGTGAGCATAGAGAGGGAAAGGAAGGAAAAGACTTTTCTGGCCAATTGAGCAAAATCTGGAAGAGAGGAGGGAAGAAAATTGAAGAGGTTGGGTATGTATAAAAATATGTAGCTGCACACGGTGGCACACACTTGTTATCCTAGGATAACTTATCCTAGGATAACAGCCTCTCGGAGGCTGAGCCAGGAAGTTTGAGCCCAGCCTGGGCAATTCAGTGAGACTCTGTCTCAAAATAAAAAATAGAAGAAGGTCTGGGAATGTGGCCCAGTGAGAAGACCCTGGGTTCATTCTGTAGTAACACACACAGAGACACACATGTATCACCTGAAGCAGGTAGTATAGTTTCTGATTCTCCTTATTTTTTTATGTCTTTCACAAATAACTTAATCCAGAGCTCTGTTCTGCCTCATCCTTTTCTCTAGGTGCTACTTTTTTTTCCTTTTTATAAAGAGGACCATTTGTGAGAATTTTAATTTATTTTTTAAGGCTAGCCATTTTCTCTTAGCTCTCTTTTTTTAGGCACCCTCGCCCTGAATTTTTATAAGATCTGGGTGTGCATGCCTTATTATATTTACCATTCTCTAACTGGCTGTTCGGACTAGAACTTCTCAAAATTGGCAAGGTCACAAGTTTCATCCTCCTTTTGTTTATGCTGAAGTTAGTGTTTCAGTTAGTAGACAGAGTTAGTACTCTTCCTTATAAAGTAGATATGTATTATAGTAGTTGAAAGTCTTTATCCAAAAATATTCTTCTTGTGGAGTCTAACTTCTGTGTGTTAAGAAGATACTTTAAAAATTAAAAAAATAATAGATGGTATAGGTAAGTTTAAATAATACATGTAAAAAGTATAGCTGCCTTCGAACAGGACAACACCAGGCTGTTCAGCTGTGTTTTCTTTGAGTTGCAGTGATAGTTCTGGGAATTGCATCCCTTGTGGAAACATAGGAACTTTAAGTATGAGGTACTTTAGCACCTAGCTCAGAAAGTCTTATAATGAAACGAAGATCTGAATTTAGTCTAATTCTGTTATTAATTGTGTGATCCAGAGTAAGGTATATAACCTGTTTCTGGGTCTTAGTTGCTTTGCCTAGAAACAAAGAGGTTACTAACAGCATTAAACCAATCAGGCTGAAAAACAATAGTTAAGAAAGACTAAATTCATTTCAGCAAATATTTATTGACTGCCCACTATGTACCAACCATGGTTATAGCAATGAACAAAATAAAAATCTCTACTGGAGATAGTTTTGTAATTTATCTCATGAACTCTGAAATTTCCCTTGACTGTCAGTAGTAAAAACGTTAGATTTTTCTCTATTAAACAGACAAAAAATTAACAGGAAGCTAAAAGAATTTAATGTTCCTGAATAGGAAATTTAAAATACTCTTTCACAGAGGACTAGAGTTAACATTCATAAGATGTTTAATTTTTTAATTAATTTTTTAATAGGACCTGTTCACTGTTCAAGAAATACACTTAATGGAGATTTGACATCAGCAACCATTCCTGAAGAAAGCAGATTTATGGCCAAAAAGAAATCTGAATTGGAAGATCCTCTTCCATCCTCTTCCTGAGGAAATTGAAGTGTCCAACTTCCTCTAAGTATTGCTATGCAAAAGCTGCTGTAATTAAACTTGTTATATGGGGTAGTTTTTCCCTTTACTTAGGATTTCTTGCACTTTACAGAATATTGTAAATCAGACAAACAAAAAAACAACTCACATACTTTTGAAGTGTATTTTATCTTTATATAGTTTATTTGCAAGAGTATTTTCCTAATAACTTCACAGTACGATGTGCATCTTTTTTCTTTTTTTTAAACAAATGATGGTGTAACATTTTGACATCCATAAAGACAAATGTAGATATTTTTCTAAAAAACTGTGAGGGACTGATAGCTTGGTCAGTGTGTATTGTAGTTTATAAACATGAAATCTTACAAGGTTTCAGTTTGACAGAAGTGTGATATATGTAACTTGTGCCATGGACCAAAAGGTCACTTTACCCCTGCTTAAAGTGAGTTATGATAGCAGCTTGATGGTGATTGTATTGTGTTCCTTTAAGCAAAAAGGAAAAACGTAATATTCTAAATATCTTTAGCCCAAATTGAGCATTTTTCAAAACAGATTCTGCTGTCCTTCATATATGAAGTCGACACTACTGATTTGTTGATACCAAATGTTGGGTTAAAGTTCGAGTATTTAATTTTTTATTTATTTATTATCTTGTTGCATCAAAAGATGATTGCGTTCTAACTTTTGTTACCTACCAAATTTAAGATGTGTATGCACTGTTATTTACATTGTTCTACAAAAGAGGTTAATGTTGTAGTGACCTTGCTCACTCAAACCAGGAAATAAATGGCTTTCAATGGAAGAAGATTTTAGTGCTTTTATTTTCCTTAAAATAGACATTAAGCTGCTGTTGTAAGGCATTGTTTGCAGCTCTTTAGAATATTTAGAGACAATTTTTTATTTATGAATATTTATACAAAGAAGGAATTCTGTCAAGGTGACTGTTACATATCACTTGAAAATGACATTATTTAGTTAAAGAGCAAATAGCATTTTTTGGTAGTGCCTGTCCATCTCTATTGTCAGTGTTTACCTTGTAATCTGTTTTTTAAAAACTTTACTTTGGGGTGATGGTTTTGTCTAAGGTTCTGGATGAGCAGCACTTTAAAACAAATTGGCTTGGTGTTTTTAAGTTAATCATGTTTAATAAATACGTGTTTTTTGCATTTGAACTCCAGATAATGCATTGTATTTCTTACATTCATTGATATTCTGTCTAGTCTTCATTAAGAGGTCTTTACTGATTTGATTTTGTATCTTCAGGCCTGCTGGTAGATACACAGTGAAGCATACTTTGTTGTCTCTGAACTTGGAACGATGTGGCCTATTCACTTTTAACATTTTTCTTGTTAGTATACATGGGAATTTTTTTTAAGAGTTAATATTTGGTATTTACTAAAATGAAATCTATAATTACAGGCTTTCTTAAGTTAAAATGGACATAAGTAATCCATGTAAATTAATATATATTTAGATAAACAGCTTCTGAAATTGTGTTTTTAAATAGCACTTAGGTCATTAGACTACTGTGTTCGTGGAATCTTCTCCCGCTCATAAGTTGTGTTTCCTATGTCTAATTTGAAAGAAGGTAGTGAATTTTCATGTTGCGTGGATAAGCTGAGCTATATCTCCGGCCAGATTTTTTTATTTTTTGGTAGTAGGAACCTGTGCAGTGGTAAGACTAGGAAAGCCAAGGTGCAACTGGCAAAAGAGTTTTTCTGATAGTTATTTTCCGAGGTAATAGGTTTATAATGAAAATACTATAATAAGCTTTTGAATTCATAGAAGATAGTCAAATCCACTTTTTATTGCTTTACCCAGATAGGTAAGTTTTGAATGATTGTCTTTAAATATTTTTAAAATAAAGTGCTATCATTTCTAGTTTGTATTATTTCCCTTCCTTGAAATGGAAGCTTGAACAGGTGTGCTTATCCCTAAGAATGGCTTTTGCTGCGACTTGGAGCCACTTTTTTCCCTTTAGGAACCTTTGTGCAATCGTGTTTTGGAGGCAATATAAATATATCTGGATTTTATGTTCAGGGTGGGAGTTTTTTCTTTTGTGACTGGGTCTTACTGTGCTGCCCAGGCTGGTCCTGCACTGATGGCTCAGGCAGTTGCTCATGCAATCCTTTGGCCTCAGCCTTCCGAGTGGCTGGGACCCTCTGGTTTTTATCTCAGTTTGGATCAATTAGTTATAAAGCTTAAGAGAACCTTACAGAACTCTGTATTTTCCAGGGTGCCTGACTTTTCTGAATTAAAAAAAAAAAAGATGAACCAAGTAAGAACAATTCTGTAAGAATTTTAACTTGTCAGTTTTTTCTATGATTTATAGTTATTGGTAATCCTTGTTTGCTTTGTTTAGACCATGGGGTTATCGAGAAATTTGGGAACTCTTAGCATGTCAGTGGTCTTTTAAGCAGAACCAGTGCTTGCTTTTCATTCCTGTTTCCTGGGCCCTTGATGATTAGAAGGACTTTGATGAGAATTGTTTTGTAAATGAACTAAATTCGAATACTCTTACTTTATATTGGATTGTAATGTTATCTTCAATCAGAATAAGTCCAGAAATGGATAATATTGCTAAATTTAAATTCCAGGGCAAGCGATAAAGTATCTTCCTTTTTACAGATGCCCTAGAACCTGTGACCCTGAATTGTAGTTTTTCACTATGTACCATCATTTAAAAAAATTTGGAAATTCACTATGAGATCTCAGAAAGTGTGTCTTTGTAATGTGTTAATACTAGACTGCTGTTGATACTAATTCCATATACGTTGTTATATCATTAATTTGAACTTTACCAGTTTTCCTTTACTTAATGAGGTGACTCTGCGTCTCCTTGGATCCTTGCTGTTGTGACTTCCATGCAGAGCAAATGCTCTACCCTGAAAGGAAGCTAGATTAGGCTGCTGAGCTCCTTGGACCAGGCTCCTCTCAGTAGCCATGGGTGGGTAAGTAAATGGAAGGAGCTGCTAGATGGGGCTTCCTTTCATGGGGCTTCCTTTCCATGTCTTTCTGGTTTTCCAGTCCTCTCTTTGAATTCATGATGAATTTGTAATGAAAAGGGGATTCGTCCTTCTCCCTAACTTAACATCAGAGACACAAGCACATTTAATTCTTAAAAATTAAGACTGTTTTCTAGTATTTATCTTCCTGATTAGAAAAGTTATGCTACTTTTTCTTGAACTATTAATTTCAGAAAAGATTTCTTGAATTCCTTTTATGGTAGGAGGATTTACTTATTTTCACACTTTCTCTCCTTTTCTCTCTCATCCCTCCTACTGTAGATTTATATTTACAAAACTTCTGTTAAATCAGTAGATAAAAATATTGTTCACTGATGAACCACATGACTATCATTATTTTCTTTTTGCTAGAACAGTTCCCTTTTTATTGTTCAGTAATGGAGCAAGTGCTCTTATCAGTGAGCTGCTCCCTAGTCTAGTACCTTTTAATTTTTTATTTTGAGATAGAATCTCACTAAATTGCCCAGGCTGGCCTCAATTTGTGATCCTCCTGCCTCAAATGTCTCCACACTTGATTGAGTGGTGGTTTGGAGTCTGTAATAAATAATTTTCTCTCAGAATTTTAAAGGCAATTCTCCGTTGTCTTTTAGCCTTCAGTATTACATGAGAATTCTGATGTCCTTCCTTTCCAGGGAAGCTATTTTTACTCTGTGGAAGCATTTAGGAGCTTCTCTTTACTTCTGGTATCTGATACTACTTAATGGTGTGTGTCTTTATTCATTCATTTTGTTAACTATTTGATTTGGTTGAGCCAGTCTCTTAGTAGATTTCTCTACTTTAATTAAGAGAAATTTTTTTGTGTTGCCTTTTAAATTTTGTTTTTTAAAATCCTGGGGATTGAACTCAGGGCTTCAGGCTGAACTCCATCCCCAGCCCCTTTTTTATTTTGAGACATTCTCACTAAGAAGTCACTAGGATGCCTAGGCTGGGCCTGACCCTGTGATCAATCCTCCTGCCTCAGCCTCCCAGAATGCTGGGATACCAGGGGTTTACTGCCTCACCCAGCTGTGTTGTCTTTTTGATAATCTTCTCTCTTCTATTTCCTCTATCTTATTTTTCTAGAATTCCTGTTATTTGAATGTTGGACCTCCCAGATGGATCCTCTAATTAAGAAAATGTTTTCTTTCCAGTCGCTCTTTAAGTTGTATTATTTTTGTTCTTTTTGTTGTTTTCCAGCTCTTCTGTTGAATTTTCTTTACTTACACAGTCATACTTTGTTACTCTGTTACTTTGAAACTTGTCAGATTTGGTACTTAATGCATTTTGACATTTGTTTGGTACCCTTGTGTGCAAGCAGAACTTGTTGGTGTGGATTGCCTGTGACCCGCCGCCCTTTGCAGCTGGAACAATTTGGTACTTCTCCTTTTTGGTACTCATTGCAACTCCCAGAACCAATTATTGATGAGTACCAAAGTACCTCTGTATATATTTTAATTTCTAAGAGATGTTTTTACCCTGTTCCTTTATCATCAAACACTGTTTTTATTGTATAGATTCAGTGTCTCCTCATAGCTCCCTGAAGATGAGATTACAGATCACATCTTTCCTATTTCCTGCATTGTTTCTGTGTTTTCCATGTTCCTGTCTTGTTTGTTTTAGACTCATTCTCACCCATTCATGTTAGTCATTGTTCTACAAAGCTGATTCATAGGTCTTTGTGTGTGTGTGGTGGGTTTATCAGTTGTCTAAAGGGCCATCAGTCAGCTGGCCTTTTCTGTTAGGATCCCTGAAATTTCAGTGGAGATCTTTTCTTTGGTGCCAGTCAGTTTCTCTAGAAAATTGGGTTCTGGTACTAGGGCAGGAGGTGGCTAAGAATGGCATTGTTTATCTAATGGCTGTTATTTAATCTATTTTCAGTCTCCTTCAGTGCTCTGACCCATATGACCTAAATCCTCCTCTGTGATTTGTTACTCTAGGGTTCACTTTCTCCTATAGATGGGGGTGGGGCCTGAGTGTGGAATCGGGGAGAAGACTTGGTGTCCTGCTGCACTTTACACAGATTTGTAGTCCTAATTTCAGCCCTGCACCTCACTCTGTCTTCCATGATGCTTGGTGCTGTCGAGTCCTGAACTTACTAGTGATTTACAAGTAGTTAGCCAAACTTGTCCTGGTTTCTGTCTGTAGACACTGTTGAAATCCATTGATTTAGTAGCCTATAATTGTTCTCTTTGCATTGTAAATTAGTACTGTTTGCATTCCTTTAATATCTTTTTTTAAAAATTAAATTCTTTTATTGGTACATTTTAGGTATACAACACAATTACATTTCTCATTGGGAATTGTACCTTTACATAATGCATCTTGGTTCTTATTTTTTCCAATCCTAGCCCTCCCTTCACGCCCTCCACCCTTCCCTATTTACAAAGACTGTATTTCCATTTTTTCCATTTCTCATCATTTTTCCTTTCCCTTTTTTCCTTTCCCCTTCCCCTCCCACTTCCCCAACCCTTTGGACCTTTTCTTCCTATTTTACATTATCGATTATTCATTCTAATCATTGGTACATTTTAGGTATACAATATAATGACATTCATCATTGGAAATTTGCACCTTTACATAGTCTCTCTTGGTTCTTATTTTTCCCCCTTGCCCAGCCCTCCCTTCAACCCCTCCATTCCTCCCTATTTACAAAGATTTTGTTCCTATTTTTCCATTTTCTCATATTAATCCCATTCCCTTCTATCCTTTCCCCTAGTCCTCCCACTTCCTTCCCCTTTGCCCCTTTTCTTCCTATTTCACATTACCTATTATACATTTAGTCCTTATTTACACTTTCAATTTCTCACACCAGAGAAACTATTCGGTATTTATACATGTGTGTCCCGGATATTTATTTCATTTAAGAGTATCGCCTCAATATGCATCCACTTAGCTATAAATGTCTCTAATTTCTCATTTTTGATGGCTGAGTAGTACTCCATTTTATAAAAAAACCACATTTTCTTTATCCAGTCTCCAGTTGATAGGCATTTGGGCTGTTTCCAAGTTTTAGCTATTACAAACTGTGCTGCTGTGAACATGAGCACACATATATCACTGTGGTATGATTCTTTTAATTCTTTGGGGAAGATCTCCAGCAGTGGAATAGCGGGGTCAAATGGGACTTCCAATCCTAGTTCTTTGAGGTATCTCCATACTGCCTTTAA